ACACGGCAGGACAGCGGTGATGAGCCCTGAGGAGTAAGGCAGCATCACCCGGCCAGCCAGCTGGATGAACTCCCTCATCCAGCACATGGCCGTCAACTGGATCAGGTCATCTGGAAGACACGGGACAAGCAAAGGTCAGGGAAAGGACAGCACTGGCAGCTGAGCAAGCTCCACAGGCCGAGAACCACCTGCAAGCAGAGAGCTGCCTCTGCTCCATCCAGAGTCGCTAGTCCAGAGAGACCCTAGAGTCTGGGACAGTTTAGTCCCAGAGGAGATAGGCAAGAGCTGAATCTGCAGTGAGGCTGAGATTCAACACAATCATTAGGTTTCGGAGTTAACCCAGTTCAATCTGTAATCCAGGTTTCCTCATTTCTAAGTATTCTGTCAAGCTTCCCAACGTATAAGGATCTTTCCTCTACCACACCCGTAGCGGTTGTGTATCTGGGTCAAGCGTCACTCCTAGAGCTGGGGTTTTATTAACCTCCCCAAGTTCTGAAAAAGGCAGCACCGCTGGGGCAGTCAGCTGATGCAGGGCCAGATTTTAGGCTTAAACGGTGCAAATTCATTGGGCATCAGTTGAGTCAAGAGCAAGCCGTCTCGGTCTATTTCTAGTTTTCTATCTCACAAAAACCCCACTCCCATTCAGCAACGTTTAAAGAGAAGGGGGGTTTAAGCTGGATGAGCACGCCCCCCCGGCTAGACCCTTCTCGGGAAACACACCCAGCTGCAGCTGTAACGCTCCGCCGCTGCCCACACGGCAGGCCCGCAGGAGCTACAGTGCAGCACTAACACAAAGCGCCAGGCACATCGTGTTTAACTGTCCTGCCGATGCGCCTAGTGCCATCAGAGGTTAAAACAAGCCCCTGAGGAGATTCTTCTAGATGTGCTGGATATCCACAGGTGCCCCCCGCAGCCAGGTATTTTACTTTCAGGCATCTCCGCTTCGACAGGTTGCCAGACCTGTATTTGAGGCTGGGGGATCAGCAGTACAAGAGCAGTAGTGTCAACCGTGGGACGGCTTCCTGTCCCCCCCCCCCTTCTTCAGCAGGGTTTGCATTCACGACGGCAAAGAAAGTGCAAGTGGGCAAGCTGGTGAACAGCCCACTGGAAAATTCCTGGCCTGAACCTATGGCCGGCACCGCAGACCCGGAGGTGGATGCTACGGCTCGGTCCCGCACTCACCCGCCGCCTGGCAGTGGATCACCAGGATATTGGCCATTTCTGCAAACTTGACGCTGGAGGGGTTCTTCTTGATCTCCTTGAGGAACTCCCCGAGAGCCACCTCACACCTGCAGAGAGGCAGAGCAGCTGGTTAGCGCTCAGTCGCCTTGGACGGAGAAGTTACGGAGACCAGCCTCCTACGTGCATGCATAGAAAGGACGCTGGTGGCATGGCATGCGTGCCTCCCCACAGGGGCAGCGCCAGGAAGGACGAGGCTGACAAACTTGTCCTGCTCCAAGGCAGAGACTGCACACAGCTGCGAGGATGGAGGTGGGTAAAAAACTGGCTGGACGGCCGGGCCCAGAGAGTTGTGGTGAACGGAGTTCAATCCAGTTGGCGGCCGGTCACAAGCGGTGTTCCCCAGGGCTCAGTTTTGGGGCCGGTCTTGTTCAATATCTTTATCAATGACCTGGACGAGGGGATCGAGTGCACCCTCAGTAAGTTTGCAGACGACACCAAGTTGGGTGGCAGTGTTGATCTGCTCAAGGGTAGGAAGGCTCTGCAGAGGGACCTGGACAGGCTGGATCGATGGGCCCAGGCCAACTGTATGAGATTCAACAAGGCCAAGTGCCGGGTCCTGCACTTGGGCCACAACAACCCCATGCAGCGCTGCAGGCTTGGGGAAGAGTGGCTGGAAAGCTGCCTGGCGGAAAAGGACCTGGGGGTGTTGGTCGACAGCCAGCTGAACATGAGCCGGCAGTGTGCCCAGGCGGCCAAGAAGGCCAACGGCATCCTGGCCTGTATCAGAAATAGTGTGGCCAGCAGGAGCAGGGAAGTGATCGTGCCCCTGTACTCGGCACTGGTGAGGCCGCACCTCGAATACTGTGTTCAGTTTTGGGCCCCTCACTGCAAGAAGGACGTTGAGATGTTGGAGCGTGTCCAGAGAAGGGCAACGAGGCTGGTGAGGGGTCTGGAGAACAAGTCTGATGAGGAGCGGCTGAGGGAGCTGGGGATGTTTAGCCTGGAGAAAAGGAGGCTGAGGGGAGACCTCATCGCGCTCTACAACCACCTGAAAGGAGGTTGTGGCGAGGGGGGGGTCGGTCTCTTTTCCCAAGCAACAAGCTATAGGAGAAGAGGAAACGGTCTCAAGTTGCGCCAGGGGAGGTTTAGATTGGATGTGAGGAAAAATGTCTTTACTGAAGGAGTGGTTAAACATTGGAACAGGCTGCCCAGGGAAGTGGTTGAGTCACCATCCCTGGAGGTATTTAAAAGACGGGTAGATGAGGCGCTTAGGGACATGGTTTAGTGGGCGTGGTGGTGTTGGGTCGACGGTTGGACTCGATGATCTTAGAGGTCTTTTCCAACCTTAATGATTCTATGACTGCCCGGAGCCCCCCGCACCTCCCCACAACTCCCCTAACAGCCACACAGGCTCTGTTGAGATCGACGTGAGCCTGGGATGGGGAGCACAGAGGGGAGCAGGGGGGCAGATGGCACCCAAAGCTTTCAGTGCTTGTTCCTCGACACGCGGACACTGGGAAACAAAGAAGCGAGGAGGATCCAGCAGGGCTTGGCGGCGGGATAGACCCAGGCCAGGCTCACCACTTACTTGTGCCCTACAAAACAAGTCCAGTTACTCTCTCCCAGCACAAGCAGCCAAGATCCTCTGGCCTCCCTGAGAACACCCAGCCGCTCCTCTGCTTCAAGATGCCTCTCAGTCTTGAGACCAGCAACGGATCTGAAGAGCAAGCTCACAATGCTCGCTCCTCTTCTGCACCAGGGTTGGTGCTGTACCTTGCTGAGAGAGGCTCGGAAGCCGCAAAGCCTGTACACATTGCTCACCCCCCATCCCAGAAGCACACGTGAGCCTCTGCGGCTCCGATACTGGGCGCAAGGGCTGAACCGAGCCAAAACAGTTTGTGCTACGGCACAAACAGACCACAGCGTCCTCTCCAGCCACAACAAGCCGGGTAAGGGAGGCCCTTTCCAAGGACACTTTGATCCACTGACCGAGCCAGCCAGATTGCTCCATCTCCCACCACGCACGTGGGGTTTCACTGCAGTTACACAGAAGAGTTGCAAACAAATTAAGACGGTGAGCAAGACACAGCCCTCGCGCCCGGCCAGCCTCCGCACTCACATTTTCCGTATCTCTTTGCTGTTGTCTCCCAGGATCTGGAAGAGCCCGTCCAGGATTTCTGGCAGGTAATCCAAGAGGTTGATGTCAGGCACAGACTCTAAGACCAGGATCTAGCTCATGGGAGGAATAAGAAAGAAGAGGGGTGAGTTTTAGAGCAGCTAACTAACGTCACCAGCACAAATCTGGTGCGACACTGAAGAATTCAGAGCTGAGCTGTGTGGGATGGGGGGGAAGGACAAGAGGACAGCGTGGAGTCGCCCATCTCAGAAAGAAGCTGGGCTAGCACAGGAGGCAAGCGATCAGCCCGCAGCATTGCTACATTTCCAATCACAGCTCTGTAAAACAGAGCAGGGATCAGGAACGACTTGCCAAGATGCACGCAGACAGACCTGGGACAGCAAACAGTACGGCTGAAAGAGAGAGCGCAGAGGCACGCATCTCTCCCCAGACCCCGGCCAGGCACGGAGAGCTCCTGCCTTGTACAGAAAGGAGATACCTTGCCTCCTGGAGAGCAACATCCCTCCATCACCGCTGGGCGATGGAAAGCTGTCTGGCACTGTCTCCTGGGAGACTGTCACCTCTAGACGACAGCGTATCTATTTATACAAGCAATGCTTTGACCATATTTTCTAACTTGGTGTGCAAAGTCCTGAACCAGCTTGGCAGAAGTGCAGTACGATGTCCCTGCGACAGCAACAGCCGGGTGACAGGGAGCTGGCTTTTTAAAGAAGCAGGTGAAAAACTCTGCTGGCTTAAAAAAACCTGCCCAAATAAATTCAGGCGCCGGAGTTCACACATCGCTGCGGACATCCGCTGTTTGCCCAGACACGGGATGCCGACGGATCACAGTGTTTCGGAGTTCGGACAGGCAGGCACGCATGGGGCCGTTGCGTACCTACCCACGATATGATGAACTGGCGGGCATACTGGTTGTTGGAGTAAATCCTCTCGCGCAGCAGTGGGATGAAGCCTACCAAGTCAAACTGGTTGCTCTCTGTCACGATGTCCTGCAGAGCCCAAGCAGAGGGCGTTAGGAGGGATGGCCACCACCCCACGCCCACGCAGCCACCCCCACCCAGCCTTTTTTAAGGCACATGACAGGAAAAAGATGACAAGCAGTTGACGCGTGGGTCTGCGGGTCAGGAGACCCGGGGAGAAGGAATGACGAGGTTTGTTCAGGCGATGAGCCAGCGATCCTCCCTCGGGCAGGGACTAACGCTGAGCAGGACCCAGAGAGGGAGGCTGCTGCCTGCTGTGTGTCAGCCTGGCTGAACAGGAGGAGGGTGGGAGCGTCTCCGATTCATGCCTCGGTGGCGTGTTGCACGCATGAGCAAACACCTTTGATGTAACCACACGTGTCAGGGGTGGGAGAGTCCCCTGGCTTTCCTTTAAAGCTCTTCCTACACGCTTGGTGGATTTTGCTGCGTGGCTAAGTCTCTCGCACCAGCGCAGATCTCCCAGCAAGAGGGTTTGCAGCAGGTCATGCGGAGACTGCATTAACTGCTGTGCTAACGAGGAGGAGTAGGGGGGCAGGACCTAGCAGAGAGCCACTTACCTCCGAGTAGCCGAAAAGGAACTAGGAGGTCTGCACAAGCAAAAGCCCGTCGGCAGGCAGAACAGGAACGGGAACCAAGTCCCCCACCCCGAAGCAGCAGCTCTGCTCCTTGCAGAGCAGCTCCGCTCACTTTTCTTCGCTGCTCGCTCAGGCAAGAGAGGAAAAGCAGAGGAACAGCCCTTCTGCTGCCCGGGACAGGGCTGCAACCCTACTCGGACTAAAACCCTGCTTCCCCAGACACCTGGCTCCCAAGAGCTGAACACACACATGGCACTGCGATAACCTACCAGCCCCTCAACCCAGCTGCCCGAGATCGCCACCAGACCCTCAATCTAAGAGGCTACGGTCGGTGAGAGAAAGAAGTCTTTTGACAGTAGCCACAGGATTGAGCTGGGATGGTTTTAGCGGCTGCAGCCTCCGGGACCGACACATCCCCAGCCAGGACACGCCTGCAGCCTGCACCAAGGATTCTCAGCTGGAGGAGGAAACATACCTTGAGAAGCCGATCGAGGAGCTCAGAGCCGCTTTTGACGTTCGGGTCAGGATCAGCAGCCAGCTGTGAACAACAGAAACAAGAGCCATTGCAGCAGCGGGTCCCAGGTCTGCTCCCCGCTCTGCAGCGGAGCTCCCAGCAGGCTCGCAGGACTGTTGCTCTCCTTTGGCATTACAGGGACGGACACAGAGAAGTCCCTTTATCTCAAAGTCCTCATTAAGCTCCAACAAATTCTCCTAAGAGACTTCCTAAGGGGGATATCAAGCAGCCATCACTTCCCCCAGCTACGCAGGTTGTCGTGGGCCAGCAGCCACATTCTCAAGCGGCAGAGAAATACAAGTTTCCAGTGATAAGCTGCAAAGACGGGCATATGTAGACGCAGTTTTGACCCTACAGACCCCACAAAGCCGTAGTGCTGCAGAGCCAGCTCGCCTGCAGCAGTACTGTCAGCCTCGTGTCCTAATACCACTCGACAAGGAGCAGTGAAATACATCCTGGAGGTGAGGACAGAGAACAAGGTATCTTACAGCGATCTCCAGCATCCACATCATCAGTGGCCACTGTGCCGCTGCAGAAACTGCTCACTCGGTCCCTCAGACCTGCCCGGGTCAAAGCAGTTTACTTGGAAAGAAGACCTTGGACAACTTGGTTTGTTTGACCCTAAGAAGAAGAGGACTAAAAAACAAGTCTTACTTCTCCAGCACGGGAATAAAAACACACCAGGGCTGAGAGGAAGCTTCTTACCTTGCTGAGGCCATCGAAGAGCACGTTGAAGTGTGGGAGGACGGAGCCCCTGGCCACCTTGACGATGTTATAGAGAGCCTCGCAAGCGTAGTACCGCAGCCGACTATCGGCGTCATTGAAACACGTCAGCACCGGCTCAATCAGCTCCTTCAGGTAGAGCCCAGAGTCCTGGTGGACAGGAGGAGACTGGTTAGGTGAGGACCGTGACACAGGGAGAGGGAAGAGATGGTGCTGCCCTGGAACACGCTGCAAAAATTCAGGCCCATGATGGCTTAGTGCACCTATGCCGGACAAGATTTATTAATGAATTTTGAATTTTATCATTGAAATTACTGAATTTTATTATTCAGGTACAGTGACAGTTGCCTGAGCAGGCTGAGAAATTGTTTCAAGGGAGTCCACACCGGCAACTGAAGTGATTACTGCAGCTGTACTCGTCTGGTTCTGATTCCCAGAGATGCACAAGATGCTTAGGCAGTTATTCACCACCCGCTCCGAGCACCTTTCAAAGCAAAAGGGGCTGCCTCCCGCTGCACGCCGCTCATCTCTGCGGGAGACTGGCCCACAGAGAAAGCTGTCCCTGCCTCCCTCTGCCCTGCAGGCAGGAGAAGAGGCAGATCCCCAGCGGTCACCAGCCCTCGGCCAGGCTTTATCCCACTCTGCCAGCTGGTTTCTGCACAAACCCACCGAGGTTTCCAGGACCATCCTGGAGAGATGGTGAACATCCTGGGAGAACATCCCAGACAGCGACAGACCGAGCCTACCTGCACCTTCCGTTAAGCAAAGAAACCCTCGGCCTGTTGGGCTACTCTTTGTAATGTCAGGAGCTGGGGACCTCGGAGGAGATGGTGATACAGGCTTCACAAAAAGAAAGACGTTCAGCAGTCCCCAAAGCGCCTTCCTGCCCTGTTGTCTCCAGAAACACCAACTCAACCGTGGTCCCAACTACCAGACGAGGAGCAGCTTCAGCCTATGCAGCTGCTTACGGACGAGGAGCTACCACAGCTGGCAGAGTTAAGGTGGACGCATCTGTTAGATGAAGTGATTGCAGGGCTCCGATTCCCAGGCAAGATTCATTTTACATGCTGAAGTTTGTCCTCCTGCACCATGGAAGAGCCATGCTAGGCTGACCTCGACTCTGCCCACAAGCAAATATAGTCATTAATGAGGAGGCCGCTCCCCAGCCCAAAAGACTTTTGCTTAAGGATTCACCGGCACAGCAGAAGTTTCAGACAAACCCAGAGGCGGAGGCAGGAGGTTGGCTTGTTTTGAAGATAAAACCCCCCACTTTGGGGAAACAGGCTGGAATTCCCTGGGCATCTAGCAAAGGAGATGGTAAGAAAATCAACAACATGCGAACTAGCAGGTGGAAGAGTTAAACTCCGAGTTTTATCGGTGCCCCTCAAGGCCACCTAAAGCAACTCCTCCATCCCCCAGAGCCAGCTGCACCAGCAGCTCTGGCAGCACGGAGTGCCTGTCCCCGCACTGCGCAGGAGGAGAAGGTGGGTTACGTGCCCGGGCCGAGGGCAGAGCGGAGCATTGCTCACCCCGGGGAGGAGGGTTTGCAAAGAGATTCTGCATTTTAACAAGAGGACGAAGACAGGAGCGCTGCTCAGCAGTCCCCGGCCACCAGCCTAAGGGCAGTTAACGTAAAAGCCATCAGGCTTCAAAGCATCCGCTCAGACCGATCGCGACTCTCGTTAGAAGGGGAATAAACGAATTAAAATCTACCTCGTAGCTCTTCCTACAAGCACAGCCTGCTCCTCCCGAGCCCTCTGCTTTTCTTGACGTACACCTCACCACGGACCAAAACAACTCCTTCCCTTGCAGGTGCTTTCAAAAACCAGCCGCATGGGTTGATTCAAAAGCCCGACGGAGCTGTGAGCCTGCAGAGTCCATGCTCCCCTCCACGGAGACCTGGATGCTCTGGCATAGCCATATGTCCTGGTTTCGGCAGGGATAGAGTTAATTTTCTTCCTAGTAGCTGGTACAGCGCTGTGTTTTGGATTTAGGATGGGAACAAAGTTGATAACACACCGATGTTTTAGTTGTTGCTGAGCAGTGCTTACACTGGCCAAGGACTTTCTAGTTTTCCATGCTCTACCGACTGAGAAGGCTGCAGATGCACAGGGAGCTGGGAGGGGGCACAGCCAAACTGGCCAAAGGGACATTCCATACCATGGGACGTCATGCTCAGTACATAAACTGGGGGAAGCTGGCCGGGGGGGGGCCGCTGCTCGGGGACTGGCTGGGCATCGGTCGGCGGGTGGTGAGCAATTGCACTGTGCATCACTTGCTTTGTGTATTATTACTATTATCATATTATTATCATTATCATTTTATTTCAATTATTAAACTGTTTTTATCTCAACCCACAAGTTTTTCTCACGTGCTTTTTTCCAATTCTCTCCCCCATCCCATCGGGAGGCGGGGGAGGGAGCGAGCGGCTGCGTGGTGCTTAGTTGCCAACTGAGGTTAAACCACGACACCGTAGAGGCAACTTACTGAGCTTGTTCTCGTTAACGAGAGGAAAGTTATAGAGAAAGACCTTAATCGGGACAGAAATCAGCCAACTTCCCACGCAAGGAGCATCGACATAACACCTCCAGAACCGGACTGACTGACCCACGCGTTCAGCAAGTAAAACTTCTGCCAAGCCTAACAGACAGCCACTAGCTCAGGCTAACGCAGCCTGACACCTTATGCCGCTTGTTTACTTTGACTGTGCCTCTGCCACCATTTGGGCTGTGCCTTAGCCCCGCTTCCCGAAGGCCCTGCCCGCGCTGCCGGAGCCGGCTGAGCTGGGGGTGGGAGATGGAAGGGCTGCACCTCTTCCCAGCTCCATTAACGCAAATTAGCACTCGACCTGCTGAGTCTCGTCCAGCTGCTGGAGACAGAGGATAGACAGATGCGCTTAAACCACGCCTAGGGAGCCGCCAAGACGCGACCCAGGCCAGAAAGCGCTCCCGTGCCCAAGGGACGCAGCTGGGTGCGATGGGGAGACTCAAACGCAACCCAGCCGTATGCTGCAACGCAGGGAGGGAGTCGGGAGCTGTGGGGCCACCAGCCCGAGTCTCCCCACCACGCTGACCCAGGACGAGCTGCCGTTCTCCCACTGCAATCCGCACAAGCCAAAAAAAACCCGCCCGCACCTACCTTGCCCAGGGCGATGGAGCAAGCGGCCAGGCCAATGAGTCCCCCTTTCCGGCTGTGGGGGTGCTGGGAGAGCGCAAACTCCTGCGACAGGATCTGGATCACGTGTTTGATTTGAGACACGTTGTTCTGAGCCACGAACTCTCGCACCAGCCTGGGGAGAGAAGAGGAAAGCACCCAGGGGGCTTTAGGTTCTGCCCGATACAAACGCTCGGGAGCTCGGCTCCCCGCGGCCGTCAGAAACAGGGGTTTTCGGCTACGACAAACGCCAGAGAAAGCAGTACCGAAACGGGGAACACCCAAGGAACCCACAAGTGAAACCAGAGCTCTCCTCTCCCCCCCGCTCACATCCAACAGCGGCCCGCTGCCCTCCTGCTGCTCCCAGCCTGCAGCCTCCTACACCATTCGTGAACTCCCAGCCCAGGATGGGCTCTCAAGGGCAGCCTCACCAGGGCTACGCGATTGTGGAGAAGTCACCAGGTCTTCAGACAAACACCCTCTCCAACAAGGCAGGTTACAAGGATCGTTTACCCCCGACGCAGCACGAGACGGCAGCAGAGAACCGCTCAGCACGTACCAGGAGCGCTGGTGGCTCGGCAGGGAATTGTTGCCCCCCAGACCCACGCTCAGCGCCAAGATTTCGGACCTCTCCAGCCACCCACGCATCGCTTCAGCTGATAATTCCCTCTATCGTATGAACTCTTAACGCGGCACAAACCTTAGCAGAAAGCAGACGAGGTTTCCGCGTGCGATACCTGCTCCTCCTCCTCGGACCCAGAGACATTTAACACATCAGCTGCGCTTAAACGAAGAGACCCGTAACCCTGCTCCAGCCTACGCAGCTGCCTCAAGGTCCCGGGTCGCCCAACCAGCCCTTCGGCCCCGGCTCTCCCCGCGGCAGAGCCACTGGCCAGCCGGGGAGGCTCAGGCAGCTGGGCAGGCAGCGGGGCAGGCGGCAGCACACAGCTGGAGCATTGGTGGTTCAGTGGTAGAATTCTCGCCTGCCACGCGGGAGGCCCGGGTTCGATTCCCGGCCAATGCAGTGCCTTTTTTCTTTGACTTCTATCCATAACGTGGACCCACGCATCTCAAAATCTCAGCCTAAGTAAGGATCTTTACCTTAATCTGTGGTGAAGGTGCAAAAGCTTCCACTGCCTAACTCCATACAGGGTGTTTTTTTGGCACTATATTGACTCTCGCGCTGCCCTCCCTAGACAGGGTGCTACCAGCCAGTCACCGACTTTATAATCCAGGAAAATCATCATAGAAGATGTTTATGAACTCCCCCCCCCGGCAAACGATTAACGCCAGCTCTTGTTCTCACCCTGCTTTGAGCAAAGCAGCTGCCCCCTTTCTCCCTGGGGGCATCACGCACCCCCCCACCCCCTCGCTCTCCCCGCTCGGGAAATGAGTTCTCCAACAGCTACAGCCCAACCTTCTCTCACAAGCTGCTGATTCAGGGCAAACAGCTCCGACCTCCAGTCCCACCCCAGCAGCAGGCTCCAGCAGGAGGAACACACCGAGCTCGAGCAGCACGGACCGACGGGGTGACCCTTTTACTGCCTAGATTTAACGAACGCAGCTCTGTTTGAACAGGAGTAACTTTACAGGCTTCCTTCAAGAACTTAAAGGGCTCAGGATTTAACTAACGAGGCAAAAGGCACCCAACAGCAACGCACGGCGTCAGAGAGTCTGCAGGCAGCAGGAGCTGCTCCCACGTTACCGGCCAGAGGACAAGGAGGGACCTGAGCTGAGCGGTAGCCAGTCCCCCCCCGACCGATGCCCGTGACCTGGGAAAG